TGTGTTACTAAAACTTTAAAAGTAAACAAATTTTACTTAATAGCGTAGTTTTTCAAAGTGCATTCATTGAGATATAGTACGATATAAGTTGTATTTCAATCTAATATTACAAGAAGTAACATTATCAACACAAGTATTGTTAATTGGCCACAATCACATAACATATATATATAAATATATGTATATAGTACTGTTTTAACCCATTAAGTCACGAATAATACAAATGTAACAACTGACTAAGCCTTATCTAACGGGCCAGCTTTGAAATAAGAATTTTGTTAAGAACTCAAATAATTTTAACTTAACCTCCAAACAATATTGAAACTTTAGCAATAATGTACTTTACCAATGAAATAAATAGATTTATGCTTAAGCGTTTATACAACAAATTGCTGAAATAGTAATAATTAATTAAAATAGTTAAACCTATTAATGAAAAATTAATAACATTCAAAACAATCAGGAGCAACCATTAAAATACTTTTTGCAAAACAATTCAAGAAAAAACGTTTTAACGTGGCAACAACGTTTGTCATTTTTTGTAAATACAAACGAAACGACCAAGTAACTTTATACCTTAATGGGTTACTAATGGTAAGTTTTACTTTTAAATAGTTTTAAACCATAAATAAGAGCCGTATATTTTACTTTGTTAACCTACTAAATAACATCGAACTATGCTCGGTCCCCTACTGTTCAGTCTAATTACTGTCACAAATTGCAGTACTGTACGTTAATATTGTTAGAACTCGCGTGAAATAAAGAACTTTTACAATTATTAAATAATAAAGAACTGATTTTATTCTGATACATAACAAATATTTCATAACATTTTTCTTTAACTAAATTGTTATGTTCTTGATCACTTTTAAAATTCTTTCCACAACTCTTCTCAATTGTTTAAAATAAATTAAAATAAACCATCTGTTCATAAAAACAAAGACTAATAAATTATTATATTTGATGTTGATTAATATTGAATTTATACTATATAAAATTAACTCAATTTCCAACATCCTCCCCACCTTGGAATTTTGCTTTACATGATCAAAATTTCAAACAAAACTATTTACATATTTCTTTTAAGTTCACAAGTCCATTTTCCTCGGGAATTTTGATCTTCTTCCCTCTTCTTGTTTCTGTAGAGGTTGAGGAAGAGGAATTATCTTGCGTTTCAACATATACGAGCATTGCAAGATACCTTTTCTTAAATCTTGATCTCTTCGATGTTTTCGTCATTCTCTCAAGTTGTTTCCACATACCTCCCCACCATGGGGTGCTCGGAGGATCGAGCTTCCAGGATATTTACCTTTATCATCCACAACCTTAACTAAAAGAGTCTGTAATAGAGTTTCTCCTTTACTATTTTCAAAATTGCTGAGAACCTCTGACTTAGGTTTAGGGCTACTTTGCTGCTGTAGATTAGAATCTGGTTTATCAGCATCAATTTTAGATCTACTTTCATACAAGTCCCTACACATGATTCCATAATGCCTTTTACAACAGAAGAGGCATTTTACAAATACCTTACATCTTTTTGCTGCGTGGCCTTGTCTTAAGCATACAAAGCAGCAGTTTTTCTTAGTTAGATGTTCCTTCCTTTCATTTAATGTCAATTGTTGAAATGAGGAACAATCTTGAGCATTATGACCTCCCTTAGAACAGTAAATGCAGTTACTCACCAACCCTTTATGACCATCTGTACCAGTTGTTAATAGAGCAGCTGCCGTAGGTTGACCCTGACGAGGTTCGTGAACTGCTGACCTTCTCTTTTGGCTGCTACATTTGCTGTTGTTCTCTCCTGGAGTGGCAGATTTAAAACTCGAACGAGCAAGAGCCAGCCTTTTCTTCACTCTCCACCTCAGCATTTAGAAAATCAAGAAGTTCTTGTAAAAAATTACTTGATTTATCATCTGACAATGCAGAAGTCGAGGGTGTGTGTGGTAACTTACTTGAACGATGCCGCTCCCAGGCTCGTAATGTTTCTTCGGGCAAAGCAGATTCCACCAGAGGATGCAGCATTGAAGCGTACTTGTTTGAAGTGACTCCTAAAGTTTCAAGTGCCCTTAACTGTGTTTCTAATTTGTCATACAGTCGGCACAGTTTAGTATTAGGACCTAGCGTTACTTGTTGGAGCACTAAACTGAGCAGTCCCCTCACATATACTTCTATTAAAAAGTCATCCCTACCAAATCTTGCTTTTAATTGTTCTAGGGCCTTTACATAATTAGTTCCCGATGGGGGAAAACTTTCTACTAATTCCCTAGGGGACGATCCTGGTTTTAAGGATTGGATGAGGTATTGGAACTTATCCTCAGGTTCTAGATCAGGATCCTCATCGACCTTCTTAAACTGCCCCCAAAACCCTATGCAATTTTTTACATCTCCATCAAACTGGTTTAATTGTAATTTAGGTAGACTTAAGCCCTTCTTAGATACTAATTTAAGACTGTGAACGGTATCCCCGACTTCACTTCTTGACTGTTGGCTTAGGCCAACCTGAATAAAGAAATGGTCATACTTAGCTCTCATTGAAGATAACATGTCTCTGTAAGATTCTGTAGTATCAAACTCATCTTCTAGTCCTCTTCTTTTGTTGCAGGATTTTCAAACAAGGCTCCCTTGATGTCTTCATCTAGCTTAAAAAGCCTTTCAGCTTTATCTTGCAACTTGTTTAGATTACTTTTAATTGTTACTTCATCTGTAATATCTTCACACAGTAATTTGTCCATTTCATTTCTGCACTTTGTAAAAGTTCTTCTTAGTTGAGTCCTTTCAGTCTTTATTGACCTTAGCTTATCCATTGTAAGTAAAATATAAGCTTGGTCCTACTCTGAATTTTAACTATAAAAATCCTGTCACGGTCGCCACTATGTTAGAACTCGCGTGAAATAAAGAACTTTCACAATTATTAAATAATAAAGAACTGATTTTATTCTGATACATAACAAATATTTCATAACATTTTTCTTTAACTAAATTGTTATGTTCTTGATCACTTTTAAAATTCTTTCCACAACTAACTCTTCTCAATTGTTTAAAATAAATTAAAATAAACCATCTGTTCATAAAAACAAAGACTAATAAATTATTATATTTGATGTTGATTAATATTGAATTTATACTATATAAAATTAACTCAATTTCCAACATCCTCCCCACCTTGGAATTTTGCTTTACATGATCAAAATTTCAAACAAAACTATTTACATATTTCTTTTAAGTTCACAAGTCCATTTTCCTCGGGAATTTTGATCTTCTTCCCTCTTCTTGTTTCTGTAGAGGTTGAGGAAGAGGAATTATCTTGCGTTTCAACATATACGAGCATTGCAAGATACCTTTTCTTAAATCTTGATCTCTTCGATGTTTTCGTCATTCTCTCAAGTTGTTTCCACATACCTCCCCACCATGGGGTGCTCGGAGGATCGAGCTTCCAGGATATTTGATTGATCTCCAATGTATGTTTCATGGTTTTCCGATCCAACTGCTTCCTGGATTTCATTACACTAGATGGAATTAAATTTACCAAATTTGGTCCTGGAGCAAAACATTCGTTTAAAGAATTACATCTTCTGTTCTTTGTAGACGCATCAAACACTGGACGTATTTTAGTAGTTAAGCTACTCTCTTTTATGACTGGGTGATGCGGCAGGTAATGGACCTTTGTTGACTCTGCTGATTCTGGAACATTTTCTATAATCCCTTCTTCTAACCATTCTTTGAAGACTTTATCATAGTCGTTGAATTTGTTAAGGGTATTTAATCTTCTAGTTGATGACATCAAACGTCTCTCTGCAATTTCATGATTGTCTAGAAGTTCAGGATGACCCTCCAACCATGGCAAACATACTTCGTACCTATTCTCAACATTCACTCTTACATTTTCTTTAAAATGTTGAAATACTTCTGCATCAATGGAGTCTCTTTGCTTCACTTCAATAGGGTCCTTGATTCCGATTGTCTCCAAGCTCCATAGATCTTTAATTTCAGGTTTAGACTGGCAAAATAGAGTTAGCAGAGACATTTTGTGACTTCCTCTGCATGGCTGCTTCCCCATCACGGTCCACCCAAGGTACGTTTCGATAGCGACTAGTTTGTCATCGATCTTCTGCATAGTTCCTGTGTACAAATCCACTAGTACATCTGCACCAAGTAAAATTTTAACATCTGGTACATTTTCACCCACATCAGTTAAAATAATGTTCTTTTCTTTTAAGATGTCAAAGTACTCTTCACTCTTAAGCCTAGGAACGTGGTTGCAAATTGTTTCTTGATCTGTCACAGGAATAGAGATCTTGAAAGAGTTATTTACATTCTGAAGAGTCACTAGGTAGTTTTTATGAGATTTTTGTTTAAGATTTACTCCGCCAAACAGACTATGGTTTATTACTTCGCTACCTATTTCCTGTAGACCTAATTTGGTGACACAGTCTTTAGTAATGTAGGATCTCTGGGAACCTGGATCCAAAAGTGCTCTTCCCAAATATTCTTTACCTTTATCATCCACAACCTTAACTAAAAGAGTCTGTAATAGAGTTTCTCCTTTACTATTTTCAAAATTGCTGAGAACCTCTGACTTAGGTTTAGGGCTACTTTGCTGCTGTAGATTAGAATCTGGTTTATCAGCATCAATTTTAGATCTACTTTCATACAAGTCCCTACACATGATTCCATAATGCCTTTTACAACAGAAGAGGCATTTTACAAATACCTTACATCTTTTTGCTGCGTGGCCTTGTCTTAAGCATACAAAGCAGCAGTTTTTCTTAGTTAGATGTTCCTTCCTTTCATTTAATGTCAATTGTTGAAATGAGGAACAATCTTGAGCATTATGGCCTCCCTTAGAGCAGTAAATGCAGTTACTCACCGACCCTTTATGACCCTCTGTACCAGTTGTTAATAGAGCAGCTGCCGTAGGTTGACCCTGACGAGGTTCGTGAACTGCTGACCTTCTCTTTTGGCTGCTACATTTGCTGTTGTTCTCTCCTGGAGTGGCAGATTTAAAACTCGAACGAGCAAGAGCCAGCCTTTTCTTCACTCTCCACCTCAGCATTTAGAAAATCAAGAAGTTCTTGTAAAAAATTACTTGATTTATCATCTGACAATGCAGAAGTCGAGGGTGTGTGTGGTAACTTACTTGAACGATGCCGCTCCCAGGCTCGTAATGTTTCTTCGGGCAAAGCAGATTCCACCAGAGGATGCAGCATTGAAGCGTACTTGTTTGAAGTGACTCCTAAAGTTTCAAGTGCCCTTAACTGTGTTTCTAATTTGTCATACAGTCGGCACAGTTTAGTATTAGGACCTAGCGTTACTTGTTGGAGCACTAAACTGAGCAGTCCCCTCACATATACTTCTATTAAAAAGTCATCCCTACCAAATCTTGCTTTTAATTGTTCTAGGGCCTTTACATAATTAGTTCCCGATGGGGGAAAACTTTCTACTAATTCCCTAGGGGACGATCCTGGTTTTAAGGATTGGATGAGGTATTGGAACTTATCCTCAGGTTCTAGATCAGGATCCTCATCGACCTTCTTAAACTGCCCCCAAAACCCTATGCAATTTTTTACATCTCCATCAAACTGGTTTAATTGTAATTTAGGTAGACTTAAGCCCTTCTTAGATACTAATTTAAGACTGTGAACGGTATCCCCGACTTCACTTCTTGACTGTTGGCTTAGGCCAACCTGAATAAAGAAATGGTCATACTTAGCTCTCATTGAAGATAACATGTCTCTGTAAGATTCTGTAGTATCAAACTCATCTTCTAGTCCTCTTCTTTTGTTGCAGGATTTTCAAACAAGGCTCCCTTGATGTCTTCATCTAGCTTAAAAAGCCTTTCAGCTTTATCTTGCAACTTGTTTAGATTACTTTTAATTGTTACTTCATCTGTAATATCTTCACACAGTAATTTGTCCATTTCATTTCTGCACTTTGTAAAAGTTCTTCTTAGTTGAGTCCTTTCAGTCTTTATTGACCTTAGCTTATCCATTGTAAGTAAAATATAAGCTTGGTCCTACTCTGAATTTTAACTATAAAAATCCTGTCACGGTCGCCACTATGTTAGAACTCGCGTGAAATAAAGAACTTTCACAATTATTAAATAATAAAGAACTGATTTTATTCTGATACATAACAAATATTTCATAACATTTTTCTTTAACTAAATTGTTATGTTCTTGATCACTTTTAAAATTCTTTCCACAACTAACTCTTCTCAATTGTTTAAAATAAATTAAAATAAACCATCTGTTCATAAAAACAAAGACTAATAAATTATTATATTTGATGTTGATTAATATTGAATTTATACTATATAAAATTAACTCAATTTCCAACAAATATAAATGAAAAGAACTGAACAACCTCTCGGCCCCTTAACGTTAAGCCTAATCACCGTCACAAATGGCACTACTAAACAAATGAACTAAAATAAATGAAGTAAACAGCCTCTTAGCTGTACAACAAAATAATATACATACATAATTAAAATAACATACTTTATGTACAATGAAAGATCATTTCAGTACAGCTGAGCCTCACGAAAATTGTCGGTTTTCATTCTATCAATATTTATTATTTAGTCTATAATAGGCTATGTATGTAAAAACACAGTCAGTCCAGCAGTTGTAAAGGTAGTGGCCAAGGACTAAGTATTTTCTTTGTTTAAATAACAAGATATTACTGTATGTAATTTTTTGTTAGATCCTAAATATTTTAGTTAAATACAAGAACTGAAATTGTCATTTATTAAAATTACTGCCGCAAACTTATAATACTTTTACTTTATAATTACGGCATTGTGACTGACTAAGCTGTTTAATGAAACCGAATAAATGATGCATTGTGACATGTAAATAAAAATTACAATAACAAGATATTATGTAATTTTTTGTTAGATCCTAAATATTTTTTAGTTAAATACAAGAACTGAAATTGTCATTTATTAAAATTAATGCCGCAAACTTATAATACTTTTACTTTGGTACGGCATTGTGACTGACTAAATGTTTGTGAGTTTTAATGAAACCGAATAAATGATGCATTGTGACATGTAAATAAAAATTACTGCTACTTTTTGGTATTTACTTGTTAGACAGATTCTTTACTTTTTGTGATGTGATTGATTTTCTGTAACTTTGAACTCTAAATTCGCGGGATTCCCAAAGAGTGTGCTTTAGCAGAACTCTCGATAATAGTGTACGATAATATGTAGTAAACGGCTCGACAACTCAAACAAAACTAAACTATATTATAATGTGTCGTCGTCCCTGTCCCCTGTCACTCAATCCACCGAACCTTTTTTGTCGATACAGTCTGGTCTGCAATGTACAACCCCCAGCAAAACCCTCCAAACTCCTGTCAGTAATATTTGGTAAAAGAAAATACTACTAAAGTACTACAAAAGATATCGTCTTATGTTTTTATCATAGGTGTTGATCAAACATATGTAAATATATTTAAGCATTAACTGAAAAGTTAACATTTAACAGATGCTACTTTTCTTGTACGGCAATAACAGTTGTGTTTCAAAGGTGTCTCCAGTAACTCAAGTATATACTATAGTACTTTAATACTTTTCAATCAATTAAAAAAATAAATGTTTGTATTTTAGTCTTAAAAATGCTAATAATTATCTTATTACTAAAATATAATATGATATATTGCTGTATTGGATTTAAGAGTAAAATGAAGACGTAATGTAGTGATAATCGTGTCTGTCTAGAGGTATCAAAACATGACATAGATGAACTATTGAGTTGTATTGTTCATTGTTCAGTATGATGACTGTTAATTGTCAAACTTATTTCGGTAATATCATTGACTATATAACACTACATTTTATATATGTAGTGTTATATAGTCAATGGTAATATGTTTTATTTTCTATTTTTTACAATATTCAGGTTTTACATTTAATTCGGTAATTTACAATATTCATTAAGCTAGGGCTTTTAGCAGGGTAATAAAAGTTTCTCTTCTGTGAACGCTTCCCTCGCCAGTTCTTGGAAATTTGTAATCCCAATCTTGGGTGAGCGAGGTTTCTTTTTCAAAGCGTAAAAGATTAGCATGCAAGAATGATGCAAGTGTTAGCGAATTTCCCATATAGGGAATAAGCTATTACCGTAGTACTCATGGTAAGACCTGGACGCGGGACCAATTTTTTTTTCGTTTTGAGGTCCCTAGAGGCCAAAAACACCATCCGTTCAAATTCATATATATATGAAATGTGTGTCCGTCAGCACGATAACTCGAGCAAAAATGATCCGATTTTGATGAAATTTGGTACAAATGTGTAAACGTACGTTTATTCGAACGAGTTCGCGATCCAGCATGATTGGACCATGGGAACGGGGGTTTACGGGGGGTTTTATGGGGTAAAAATAGGTTTTTCCCATTTTTGACCCAAAAAACATAAAATTTAGCAATTTCTTTCCAAACCATTTTGTAGAGCTTCAAAAAACAAATAATTTAGTATATTGAAGCGTTATTATGCGCCTTATTGTTACGGAGAAAATTCCAAAAAATTGTAAATTTAAAATTCCCATGTTATTCTTATGGAGAATAAGTAAACTGTTGTAGTTTGCTTGTTTGTGAACATATTTTGATCAAATTTGGAAAATGTTTTTATTTCTTACTAACTATTCACATTTTACAAAAAAAAAAAAAAACAGTTTTACCCTCCCTGATGCAGCAAACCTAAGTACTTGTTAAACTACCTAATTCTATTTAAATCAAGAATAAATGTTATATTTTTAAGTAGAAATTTCAGTGTAAATCCAATCAGTCAAATGGAAATTCGCTTAGTCTGCAGGTTTGCTGCGGCGGGGGTATTTTATATTTTATTGTTATACGAACAATGGTTTAAAAATAAAGAATTGTAAACGTTGTTCTGCTGTATGTACACAGTGGAGAAGTATACATGCGAAATGTCAATTCTATCTCTGAAATCACCAATCAAAGGATATTGTTTAGGTAATGAACTTCAATCATGTATGAAACACACTTTTGATATCACCATGTTGGGGGTGAAGGTCGTTTTTAATTGTTTGTAATATATTCCCGCTGGTAAAAATTCAAATAACCATTTTGGTTATTTTTTCCCATTGATTTGTGAACATTTATAAACATCTAGAATTATAAAAAGCTGTGTATTTTGAAGGCTATTTCAATTATACGTTAAGCAGTGTAAATTAGATATCACAATATCAAAATCGTCCAAAACACAGAGACTTTGTACAGTTCCCTACTGGTTTCGTAAACAAATATTCACAAGACTATTGTTACACCATAATTATTATTTGAACTTCATCAATGTTTCTTGTATTTTGGGATACTCAACGTTTCTGGAGTTGGATCAACGCCTACCGTTTAAAGTAATAATAATTAACAATTAGTTTGCAGTATTATTTCTTAAAGTCCAAATAATAATAGTAACATGTTTTAGAACCAAATTAATTATGATTTTTCCCCACTACACAGTTTTAATAGATTTTCTACGTACGAAATTTTTCCAAGTACCGGTAAGGGTAATTAATAAACCTAAAACGTTCATAGGTCTTCATATTGACTACATCGGTTTAACATTTCTAGCGGTTGCAAAAAATGGATGTGATATAGTGGAGACAGACTGACTCTCACCACCACGTTTTATAATACTGTAGTACAGTATAGATACATATTTTGAGAAAGGATGGAGTTCTGGTCTCTGGGGACATCGAAACGAAAAAGTAAATCGATCACAGGCTGAGCCCCTATGGCGATAGTTTATTATAAATATAAAATTAGCTGATAACGGAACTAAAGGACGTGTAACAGTTATATCACACTTCTAAAACTGAGGCTTACCATAGGCCTATCAAATATTTAACCCCGTTTTACAGCAGCAATGTCTCATATTACTGACACATCAACTGGTGCCTTTTTCCCTATAGCACACAGATGTTGTAAATCATAGTGTAGCCAAGGGGTTGTCGGGTATTGTGTGAAGGCAATGCCCTTATACCCGAACTGAACGAACGCTCTGCCACCCCCCATGTTCTGTCATTTCACTTTCTCTATTTCTCTGAGCACATTTTGCAGTTTTTATTTGCTTTGGGCGTTTTGTGTGGTCGTTATTTCAAGCTCGTTCACTAGTTTCAAAGTGTTAGGTGGATGTATTCTACTATACTTAATAGATTAAAATTTAATAGTGATATGTGGATAAATCAATTTATTTATTTATTGATAAAATATCACACTTTCTTAATTCCAATTAAATATTTGATTATAAATTCTTACAACAAAACATTTACAACATGAAGGGTTTGATTACGCAAATTTGTATTTAAGTTATTCTCATCGGCGTTTTAAATTTGATTAGATAGGAAATTGACACATATCTAAAGGACATCTTTTTTATCAAATTCACTAACCACTAAAATATCACGATAAATATTAGGTTACGAGTCCCTGTCTAATATCTCAGATTCTTAGCGAAGCAGTTAAATTAATGATCAGTCTGTTTAATCAGTCTGTTAAATTAATGATCTGTCGGCTGTCTGTACATTGCGTCGTAACAGCAGACAGCACTATGTTTTCATTGCCCGCCACATCGTGGCAGCACCTACTGGTTAGTGACGTCAGCGCTATGATCGCCCCTTTCCCGCCAGACAGGCCCGTTTTTGACCATGGCAGCGCCCTAGGCACAACTAATAGTAGCGCCCCTTTGCAATATATAACAGGGACCACC